GGGGTCTGCAGATCGCTTTATATATTTTTGTCGCGGTATTTGTACTAATTCCTTTGTCTTTGTATGTTAGTGATCGAAAGTGTTTTGTTCTTTTTGTCGTTTCTGTTCTGGTATGTAACGGTATATTTTTAAGAATACAATATACTTTTGTTAGTTGTTATTTTCGAGATCTATTGCCAATATAAATACTTGTAAAAAATTACAAATTGCATGTACAAGGTGTTCCAACGATAAAGTAAAGGAAGTTTAAGCTTAACCGGTACTACTTGTTTCAAAATTATCATCGTCATATTGTAAAGGTACCAAACGCGCATATTTTAAAAATATTTATATTTATACAGAAAAGTTGCAGCGGAGCACACAATTTTTTTTTTAAATGGAACACCCTATATTTCATTTTATTTTTGAATTGATATGTAAATTCCAATTACTATTTGTTTATAAAATATGAACGAAAATTGGTTAGTTTTTTAGTTATTCGGCTTTAACGCTGAAAATTCTCATTTTCATACTGTTGACAAAGCGAAAATTTTCCCCTGGTCTTTAGACACAACTTTGTAAAATTTGACGAGAGAAAGGACTAATACTATATTATTAATGTTTGGCTTGCAAAATAATTGTATTTGAAACTATAGGGCTATATTTCCAAGCTCAAAAATCTCAGTTATTTTTATGGCATACCCCGGATATTGTTAGTGTTATTCAGGATGGGGATGAGAAAAAAAGAAATTCGCTCAACTTGACTAATGATAATGATTGTATAAGTATTTATTGAGAGTACTTAACACATTTTTTTCCTAAAATTGTGAATTATTATACATAATTTTTTTTTTTTATGTGAATTATTAGAAATATATCTGTTTCATTTTGTATTACAAAATTATATTTTCCAATAGGGGATTTGTGTATAAAAAATACAATTTTAGTTTTAGCAATTTAAGATTTAAGCACGTTAGGACTTGAAAAAATAACAGCCAGCAGAGAAACTCTCAACAAGCAACATATTGGGAACTTTGTGAAACATATCGAGTATACGTTTTGGAAACATCTGATAAATGTATAAGACAAATGTTTCAAAATGGTGTTGTTTCTGTTCATTTTCATAGAAACATTTCATAAACCTAACATGGTAAAGTTTTAAGAAACGTGTATGAAACATTCTAGTGATTCTAGCAAAAGCACCTTCTTGGCACCAGAACTACTTCAGCCACGATTGAAGTGTTTTTTTTTCTGAAATTGCTTTATTTTTATTGCTCTTTAAGAGAAAGTTAAAAAGAACGCGAAACTCGCTCATACATAAAGTACACCTCGTTAGGTTTCTTAGCGTAATCAGCGTGTTTAAATGAGTTAAGATGCATCAGTATGCAACAAAGTAAAAATCACTAAAAATTCAAGTATTTCAAAACCACCTATAAAAGTTACAGCTATAAGAGAAACATAGACCGAATAGTCAGAAATTGAACTCATATAGTCTAACCCTTACTTGTGCGACTTATCAGCAAATGAAACCAAAAACGTTTATGTTTTTATCATGGATGAATACATAGTTACCTTTGGCACATAAACCATATAAACATAAACTCACAGTGAAACGGTTTAATAGGTAGGTATTCAAACAAATTTAAAAGACAACTTACGGCTTGTTGTGACAATTGACTGTTTGATGACGGAAGGTTAGTTTCCACACTAGTTCTACACCCTGTTGCCAAATATCTTATCGGTTGTGCAATATATTTTGTATCGTTTGGAGGTAAATTAAAATTCGTACAATTATTACGTTTAATGTATTTACTTTGAGTTTTATTAATTTTAAAAAATCAAGCACCTGTTTTTTATTTATTATTATATCTCGCTTCAGAAAGATTGACTTGGGTATGGCAGTGTAAATAAATAATTGATTTGCATAAACTTTCGTTAATTTTTAATCGAATTTTCGCACTCAACTGTATTTGGTTTAAAGCTAACAAATTTTTTAAATTAAAGACAAACATTTATCACAAAAAATATTTATTGGGTTATTTAAAACACTTCAACTATTCCGTTTTGTTTTACGAATTTCACATATCACAGCCTTCACCACGAAATTTTAAATTTATCACTTCCCCATGTTCATCTTTATTTGATCTAGGCAATAATTTGACTGCTCGATGGATTCCGTATTTTCATAGCTGGTACCTAAAACAAAATCTTATTTATTACAGTATCACCAAGACTTCAGTAAACAACCCTTTGGTGAAACAGTTGACGTTTCCGAATTATTTCTAACTCTATCGTATTTAATAGGAATATTTAAAATATATAAATTTAACATCATAGCTACCTAATCTTCTTCCTTCTTTGCAAGATCGTTCGGCTTCGCCATAGACTCCTTTTTGCAATAAAATGAGACCCAAGTTTGCATGAACCACACCTAAATGCGACTTATCTTCCAGCTGATTACCGATTAATACAGCTTCTTTTAAGAACTTTTCTGCACTGTTATAATCTTCTGCTCGAAAACTCGTTATTCCTAGATCGTTTAGAAGTAACATGCTTTTCTCGCTATTTATTCCTGTGAAGAAAATTGCATATTAATAACAATTTGTTACATTTTTTACCAAATTTAATTATTCCTAATCAATGCATGCCTTTGGTTTCATTGCAAACTTTGTAGGCTTCATTTAAATGTATAATAGCTTTGGACATATCGTCATTGTCTAGCCAATATTGGGCATACCAATCGTTGATAACACCATACAAAAGTTTCGCATCTTCATTGTCGTTTCTATGGCTTTCAATCTTTTCTAAACACCAACGATATCCCAAGTCAGCCCGTTCCTTATTGGCTTTCAGCTGACATATTCGCGCTAGTTTCAAGCTAATGTGAATTACCTGCAAGTATCTGTTGTCGGTATAAATATTAAAGAACTATATTTTTTTTATAAAACCATGCCTATTTACATTCTTCAGTTAAATAATTTAAAGAGTATTACCCTTATATCATCTTCAGGTGTTCCGCTACTCAAAAGCATCTGCAAAACGCTAACGAACAGTTTTTCAGCTTTATCTAACTCGCAACTATTAAAAGCCAGGTTGGCCATTAAATCATAACAGTATAATACGCCTTGTTCATTCTGTTGTTGCTGGGCAATTCTACAATTTTAAATAAACACCGATTATGGCATGTCTAAGATGATACGAGAATAGAGTGTGTTCACACAAAATCCGATCGCATTAATTTTTAAAATATCTTATAAACCATTTCAGTTAGAGCAGTTCTTTTCCCCACTGGATTGAGAATTCAAAAATTCACTACCAAGTTGGCGAGGATCAAAAGGATAAACTTTAAGTTTACATTCGTTTTCTTAGATTCTAATAAAGCCGCATTATTTTGAATAAGTAATCCAAAATTCAAGAGGGCTATTTTTGCGTGAACTGACAACACCCCTTTTTTCTTCATTTACTACAAGAAACACCATTTAATTTATTCATACCTTAAAGCGAGATGTAGCATTTGTTCAGCTTTATTAAACTCTTCACGTTGGGTACATAAAATCGCTCGTTTCAAAGTCATGATAAGTTCAGATTCTTTCTCGTCGTCGTCCTTCTGGAAGCCGAGCCAGGTTAAAATGCTTAGCGCAACGGTAATACTAACTGAACCAAAGGTATTATTAGGGCTTTTCCTTGTTTTGGGTCTCAAAAACGATTGATTGTATAACCTCATTTTCTGAATCACAAAACCTTTCAATGCCACTTTATGCACTAACGGGTAAAAAATCCGTCTAGTTTTTGGAACGCTACACAAAATTTTTCCAATTTTAAACATGTTTAAAACGTTTTATAAACGGTGATGTTTAGAAACTGTAAATATAGGTCAAGTCAAAAATGTAAATGTCAAATAACGTTTGACAACGCTCCAACGATAAAAAACTCATTCATTGGCAACATTGCAAGTGGTCTGTGTGAATTACATGTAATATATATACAGGGTGTTGAGTGACACAAACGAAACTGAACGCATTCCTTTGGTAAGAGTTATAAAACTATTAATTTTCATGTTTCAAATGTATCTATGCCTGCTGGTACGTGCAAAAATCGTAAAAAGTTAGTTTCCAAAATATCCCATCTATTCGGCTGCAGAAGTTTTTCTATAAAGTGTCGAGTTTTATGAAGTACTAAATCTAAGTTGAAAGCTAAAAATTTAAAATATTTATTGTTTAATTAATAAAAACACGGCTGTAGAATTGCTTTTTCGATTTACAAAAAACGTGTCTGATATTTATTTTCTTGGAGTTTCCGTGTAAAAATATTTGCTAATGTTATAAAACAGGGTTTTTCCAAATGTATTTTCAGATAAATATCTGATGCATATACAAAAACTTAAAATCGAGCATTAAAAAAATAATAGTTATTATAAAGAATATTGAAACGAAATCTGGTGATTTTTTCAGACCTAAATAAGTCTATCGAATCTACCAATACAAAAATGAAATTTATTAATTTTGTGATAACATCTTCGAATACTTGAGCACAATTTCTGGTGCTTTGAGAGCTATACGTACAATACATTTTTGTGATTTACTTAAATGCTGTTTTCATCAGACTATAAAGGATTTCAGTCCCGCTCAAATAATCGCTTGATTGCATACGGATCTCCACTCAAAACATTAGAAACCCTATTTTATTTACATTGAGACAAAAGGTGCTGTTTGTGCGCATTCAATCATTTCCCCAGCTTGATTATGAATACCTACTTAGCATAGATATTCAAATTCAAATTGAAGTTCAAAGTTTATTCAAATGACGAGTTTACAATTTATAAATTAACAACAGTCTATCCAATAACCAATATTATACCAAAAGCTAATCAATCCAAAAATCTGTAGCACCTAGGTGTGTCCACCTGTATGTGCATGACTGTACAAAAGAAAATATATATAAATAATATATTTCCACAATAATCTGACGCAGATCCAACGTAGGTACAGCTTATAGCAATGTATAAAAATGTTCACTTGAAGTGAACTTAAGCAACTGAATGACGAGAATATTTTCAAGTGGATTTAATGATATATAAGTTGAATGATAAAAATGTTTTAGAAATTACTTTGTACTGCGTATATTATTGTTAGTGGAGTTCTTATAACCGACAATAGAAATGAAGCTCTTAGTGGTTTTGTCCTATTTTATATGTGTAGCATTTGCTTCCTTGTCACAGGATAGTGAAAAATGGTTGAAATTTAAGGTACAAGCGCTTGAAATTAACGTAGCTTTTAAATTGTGAAAATTTCAGTAGATAAAGAAGATACGGAAAACTTGCGGGCCAATTTTCTCATAATTATTTAAATTTAGTATCTATATTACACCTGATAATGTTAATTAGATTGTTACTCAACCTGATAATATAAATTGAGAACAGTTTTGCGAAAGAAAACGCGCTGGTGATGATACAGGAGCAGAAGTAACATACATTCAATGATCATTCATCATTCATCACTAAATCTATGCTTCGGAAACGTCTTTTCTCTAATATTGGCTTTTGGTTTTTCGTCAATAGGTGTATTAAGTTCAATTCTCTTCTCACACTTTTCCACTTTTCACATTTTTGCATTGTATTGTTTTTCATCGTACTCGACCACATTTCTCCTGACAAGTTATTGTAAATAACTTCTTAAGTTTGATCGTTGCGTTGATTTTTTCTGCAGAAGTGCATAGTATCTGAAGATTCTACGCACTTCTGTAGACTTCTTGATACTTTGGTGTTAAGTAGATAGGATAAGATAGATGTCTATGTCTTCTTTCAGGTTCTTTTCAGAACAGTAACAGAAAAATCGCTTTGCTTTTTAACCTGAATATATCGACATATGTGAACCTAATCGTTTATATTAGTATTCATGCACAGGTGAACTGGCGTATGAGTTGCAATTATAAGACAATACAAGCAAATCCTAGAATTTGATAAATATTTATACGCAAGTAGATTCAGGTAATCGTGGTTGCAGCATTTGTTAAAGTGTATTTTGCTTGTTCGACCTTTTTTTATTGGAACGTATGGATGAGATTCGATTCATTTATAGCCACAATTGAAAAAAATGTTAATATTTTGGGCAAGGTTTGATGATTGTGGTTGGTGGTGATAAGTATACCTACTTATAAAAAGCAAAAGAGTTATTTGGACGTTAAAAATTTCTTGCTCTGTGAGAGCTTCCCATGAAGCATCTTGACCTTTTTGTATATTTATGGAAGAACATACTTTCAGAGACATAATCACTTGCAAACTTCCAGAACCAACATAACAAAGTGTACGAGACAGTATATGAAGAAAAGCTCCGCTTTGCAATTTTTCAAGAAAACGTTCAAATCATAGAAGAACAGAATCGTCTATATGAAGCAGGCGAGGCGACTTACCGAATGGCAGTAAATAAATTTGCGGATCTGAGCAGAGAAGAATATCTCAGCATTTTGAAGCATCAAAGCTCATCGCGGCCTCAATTGAAAGCAAAAATTCATCGGCCTTCGTTGGAGAAACCTGACCTTCCCAATGCTACAGATTGGAGGAATGAAGGGGCAGTTACACGAGTGAAAGATCAAGGTTCTTGTGGATCTTGCTGGGCCTTTTCTGTGGTAAGTAGTATAACGTCCTGAAATTGGACTGGAATGGGATTTCGTTCCCAACATGTAGTGGTGTTAACAAAACAACACAAAGCACAACATTAAACACAATATCACAAGGAAGGCTTAGACATTTAGAACAAACACGAGCTAAACTTTAAAGACGGAAATAGGTATATTGTTGGAAAGCTTGGCAGTTGACAAAAAAGTTTGTTTGCTGAAGACCGCAACAGACCAATTTCTAATATCCTTAACTTTTTTAAATTACATTCTCACATTCTTTCCATTCTTTTCCATCATTTGCTTGCAAAATTTTATTTCTTTTTTTCAAATCTTATATGTAATTTATCCTGAAATATTATCTATATGTAAAAAATATTATGCAAAAGTATGTAAAATTGTATTCTATTTTCTCGATTAGAAAAATATTTTAAAATTCTATATGCTTAATTCCATTCAAAAATCGCCAAACTGTGTTCAAATTATAACGAAAAAAATTATGTTTATGTGATCCAACTATACAATTTTTTTATTAATATTAATTAATAATTATATGAAAGAAGGGGTAAGTAAGTACGCAATTTCGGAACTTGGTAGGGTTTCCTGCATAGTTCGGTCATTAATAAACCACATATTTTCGGTTGCTGGGCTTTTTCTAACTTAGATCAGCATTCAAAATCCGCACTATTCTTGAATTTCCGGATTTGGCGTAAAAACTAAAAACATTTGCAAATTGTCCATTTATATAAAAAACGAGCATTTTGACTCTATCCAGCAGTGAGCACTTGACCTGGTTCCCTAAATATGTGCCAAAAATATCGATCGACTTTCACAATACGCATCATCTTTGAATGGTCGTCTTTTGTGCGCAAACTAGCAACTTTTTTTAATCTGATATTTATATAAAAATGTGTGCGTTTTAGGGTTTTATTTATTTGCATTTTCAAATAGGAAACAAAACTTTTTATAAAAGTGCCAATTTTAAAGCTTTACCCCGCAAGAAAAACCATATCGTTACATCATTCGGTTCTCTAAAATTGATCCAAGACCTAAGAGCGGCTTTCATGATTATTCTTAAATTTCCGCATTTTGCGCCAAAACTGACAAACTCCTTAACTTGATGTTTGTTATAAAAATGCCTATTTAAAGGCTCTATGCCTCAATGGCAACTAGAGCGTTATAGTTCTCTAAATACGAGCTAAAGACTAGCGACTTTCAAGAACGGGAATGGAAAATTTAAGACTAATTTGTATGTTGCAAACTACTTTTTGATTTTAGGTCATATTTTGAGAATCGGATGAACCGCAAAGCTCTATTTGTCACTGCGGAATAGAGCCTTTAAAGAGGAACTTTCTTGCAACAACCATCAAATTCAGGAATGTTTCTAGTTTTCACGGCTAATGCAAAAATTAAAGAAGATTAATGGTCACTTTGAAAAGCCCTCTTACTCTTCGGCTTATACTTGTAGAACCGTTTGAGGTGGAAATCTCTAGTTCTCATTGCGAGAAAGAGCTCAAAACTGCGTATTTTTTCTATAAAATAGCAACCAACATCACGCATCTATTTAGGACGGTTTCTAGTTTTTAAGCGAAATGCGGGATTTCAAAAATAATGCGAATCTTGAATGTCCTCGTCTAAGCGTTTGGCTCGTAGTTAGAGAACCAGGTGAGCTAGAAAGCTCTATTTGTCATTTCGGAATAGAGCCTCTTTAAAGGCGCTTGGACAACGCTTAAACCCTGTTCTTATAGTAGGTTGTTCTATAATAATCTAAATGCATTGACAAAGCAGTAATGCCATTTGAATGAAATGTTTCTCCCAATATCACAAGCAAAGTAGTTACAACATTTCAGAAACAAATTGTAATTAATCGCCCTGTGTTTGTGAGAATCTTCAAGTAATTTTTTAAAGTGTTACGCAGGTAAGGTTTTTGTAAGAGAACATCGATTCAATATATAAAAGTTAATTGTGAAAATTCTTGCAAAGTTTAAAATACTGCAGCCTATAAGAAACTACCAAAAACCATGTAGGTAACTAAATATCACCCAATGTCTCATCTGATTCTAGATAAAGCTATTCTAATTTTACGAATCGGCACAATAAAGAAGAGTTCGATTGATACCAGCTATAAGAGCAATTTATATTTAAGTAATTTGAAGAATCCAGACGATTCTCCCAGGTTCTTTTTTTTTTTTGTTTTTTTAATTTAACAATTTATAAATAAAAAATTTCAATATATGATAACGAAAGAATCATATACATATTGCAATTAATGAAAGATGATCATTAAACAGATCAGATTAGAAGAAAGATATGACAAGACCTTTAACATTAAATAACCGTCGTGATATTTCCAGACTGGAACTCTAGAAAGTTTCTATTACTTAAGACATAAAGAAAAAGGATTAGTGGAATTTAGCGAGCAACAGCTTTTGGATTGCGATTTGGTTAATGATGCTTGCAATGGAGGTGAAGAAGCGCCTGCTATGGAATACTTTGTCAACTATGGTAAAATTAAACAATAAAACCCTGCAACTAAATTTAGAGATTCTTGTCGTTCAGGGATCGAAAGGGAAGATGCCTATCCATACGTTGGCGCAAGAGGAACGTGCCAATACAACGAATCCGCTGTTTATGCAAAGTTGGAAAATTACATCCAAATAGAACCTGGTGATGAGGAAACTTTACTAACTGTTGTTGGTTTTCTGGGACCCACCTCTGTGGCACTCGAAGCATCTGGATTGGCCTTTTATTCACAAGGTTAGCGAACAAAAGTTTAAAAGCCATGTTTTAAAACGTTTGGAATCTTAGGAATATATACCAGTTCGCAATGCTCTCAAACCACAACCAATCACGCGGTTCTAGCCGTAGGATACGATGTGGATGAAGAAACAGGATTAGATTATTGGATCATCAAAAATTCCTGGGGCGCCGACTGGGGGGAAGACGGTTATTTCAGAATTCGAAGAGGGGAGAACGAGTGTGCCATTGCTATGGACAGCGTTTATCCATCTTTCGGCATTGAATGATTTTCTTATATCTGGAAACTACTTACTTTATGGATGATGTAACTAAATAATATGCAAGTCAGTACTATGAATTATGTGTTTCATTAAGTCTATTGGATTCGATATACAGGGGTCCCGAAAAATATTTGACCAAGAGGGAACTGCGACATTCTTTATCTCAAAAAAAAAACGATCTGAGCAAACTTTTATTAAGCAAAACATGTCTGGTTTCTCAGTTTTTCAAAAAAATGGTATTTTTGAAGTATTAGTATCGGAATCAACCCATTTTTTTGAGTTGATAATTATGCCTTTCCGACATTTCTGTTTTCCAAAGCGAAAAGACCGGACGAAAGGACGAGTAAGTCGAGTTTAACGCCAATCGGGTTTTGGCCTCCTTCGAGCCCTACGTAGGTGGGTGAGATTTCCTCAATAAGCACCCTTAAAACGCTGAAAAAACTCGGAGGAATGTAATGCAGTCTCGGGGAAATGTAATTAATGGTCAGCTGAACAGTTCTTCTGTTTTTAAAATTATTCCAATATATTCGAGATTTTCATACAACTACAACTTTTGATGAAAAAATGATTTATTACAAAAACGGTTCAAAATAGCTATAGTAACTAGATTTTGTAATGTTTTCCATAAAAGCAAATAAGTAATCTGGAATATTTCGCATACAAAGCGATGAATGGTGTTTGAACTAGTAATTCTCAGATTGAACGTTTCAAGCAAATTAATTATTCTTTATACAGATATGAGTAACGCTTGGCCCCCCTAAAAAGCAACAAAATAAAAATATGTCTTGAAAATGGTAGAAAGCAGTCGACCAGTCCTAAAGCTCTTTTTGATATATCATTCCTAGCACATTTTCTAGGTAACGTTATCATATCAAGAAGTGAAAATGATTGAAGACTAGTGGAAGAACGATTTTTATCCTGTATTTCATGATGTATCTTGAAAGATAATAGAAAGACGGATTTTATGGACACATTTTTCTGGAAAACCCATAGTTATAGCTAAGTCGAAAAATGTTTCGTTTTTAAGGTACAGGGTGTTCTTTACGCATAAATCTCATATTTTTAGGGATAATCTTTTTTTTTACATATTATGTATGATGGTCTATCTATCCTATCCGATCCTGAAAGGCATCGTTACGAAAATAGAGGATAAGACAGTTTCATAAAAAAAACGATAAAATCTATTAATAAATTCGAAACTGCTTGAAATATTTTAATGAAAACTTGCAGATGTCAATTGCTATAAAGAGACCAAGTTTCTGTTGAATAAAACATTTTTTGGTGCTCCACGTACCGACGTGACATTAAATATGTGAAAAGATAAAAAATGCTCCTGATTTATAAAAAAAAATATTCTTTCATTTCTGGTTCAGTTCTAAACAAAAAAGCTCTCCTGAGTTTCCTGCGTACAGCTCTTCATCTCGAGTAAAAAAATTAAAACTGTATTGGTGCACGTCTTCGAATGCTCACATTTATTTAAATTCAAACTTTTAAATAATTGACTTTCGTTTTTGATGAGTAGGTGGTGATAGTGGGATTTTTCTTAAAATATTAAAATATGCAAACTAATGACTCAGAATTGGAGCTGTAAAGGACACAARAAAATKAACTAAATTAATGAAGAATATATTTCTTTTAAGTACTGGCCAGTTGAATTGAATAGACTAACAWAAATTAAGTTTAACTTAAAGAGACTAACAAAAATTGTTAGAACTGTTMTCCTACAGACAGCATACAAGAATTTAGTCTTCTTTGCATAGATTTTCATAAACGTGCTAAGATGTCCGGTCGGTTTCTTACTTCTGCACAACCATYGATTATCTGCTTTGTCTTTGYCTTTGGTTTTTATATTTTATAAAATATTTCAGTTTTCCACTAGCGTTTTGTACACAAAGACAATGATTGATTCCTTCTTATACCGTTGGTGTGAGGATTCTAATACGCGCAATAATAAGATGTTGTTTTACTCGAAATCGATGCGTTGTAGACCACAAAAATGTTTGATTGCATCTGTAACATTGCATTAAAATATCTCAAGCGGTTTCGGATTTATTAATAATTTTGTATGTTTTTTAATGAAATTTTAACATTTTGGATTTGCGTTTTAATTTTTTTTAACATCATTCTTTTCGATTCGGTGCTTTTGAAATGTGAAACATAATCGATCAAGTGGATTTAAATTGACAATTAACTTGAAAATATCCACATTTTTTAATGAAAACTCTTATGACTCACTTTTTCGAAGTTAAACTATTTGCAACGTTTACTTTTAACGTTTCCTTTGAAAACCAGGAGTAATTAAATAAAAAAATCTTCCCAAAATAAACTGGTTTTAAATATCGCATGGCAAATTTTGAAACACTATTGATTTGGCTTCTCCTGCGAGTAGAAGCATTAGAAAATGTAATTGGTCCCCTATATGAACTTCTTTGTTTCTGATATAGTTTCTGAGCATCCAGTAGCAAACATCAAAGAAAAACACTCTGGAAGTAGGAAATAGGGAAAAACGACTTAAAATTTACGTTAATTTTTCAGTTTATAGCCAATGTGTAAGCAAAGTTCGGTTCTGTGCTGTAGATATGAAGCAGTCACCCCGAAGCAGCTGGCTCCTACCAGCTGCTGGCTATTTTATAAGAAGCGGCAAAGCAAGGTGCGTTATCACCGCGTGCCGCAAATTAGAAATTTCCCATGCCGCTTCCATCTAATCAGTTCAGAAAACACACCTTCCTCGATCTCACACAACACAAAGGTAAAAGTAGTGATGTTAACTCACGATCCTCAATGGTCTTTCCACAGTTTTTACAAATTTATTCATTCAATTAGTATTTGTCAAATTATCATTTTAGACATGAGCTCAATATTACTTTTTTGGAGAAATGTATTTCAAAAAATGTTAACTCGTGAACATAAAAGTGTTTCTATATTTGTGGTTATCTCATTAAATTGCTTAGTAAAAGTTCTATAGGAGCCTATAAGAATTTTATTATTTGTGAAGCTCAAAAGCAAAAAGTATAAATGATGATTTTGCTGATGGAACTATAAATACGCCACTCTAATCAGATGAGAAGAAATCAGTATGTTCCAAAATTTAGTTTTTTAATTCAGTTCCCAAAACAATGATATAAATAACTGCATATCAACCTGTACTCTYATTATCACAAAACCGGACAATATGAGTTTTATCACAAAGCTCAAACAACGATTAATTTATCACAAAACTGCAAAATTTTATAGCCTGACTTCAGAACATCAGTTTCCATTGTATACTTTAGATCTCATATCGTAGCCTGGTGTTGAAGAAAGAKTTTCTGGGGAAGAAGTTAAAACGSCAAAGAAGTAGCCCTGCTTCARCGTATTACTAGATGGAAAGTTTCTTCAAAAGTGAGAAATCCAGGAAAGTCTGCGCGAAATCKTTAACCCGTTTTCATKCTTATGMGAGTGGTTGTTTGCATTAAACTCAATACTGTCTTARTCCGTCCTTATCTACTGCTTGAACTACTTTAAAATTGCTTTACGTACAGCTAAATTGAAACTGCATCATCAACTGCGTATTTAAAAAAAAMTAATTTTTTAAKAAACGYTWTGCTTTGCTGTCCAAGWGAGCTTCAATCACTCCCTAAAAGGAATCGTATCCATTGTGAATCCAATTGAATTTTGAACACAGTAKTAAAAGCAGTTTAGAAAACCATAATAACACGAAAATTGTGATTGATATTGATTTAGACCGCACTGCTACCAAAAATCAGGTAGTAAACAGTCGTAGAAACTGGCAAGAGGAAAAAGTTAACAAAGAAATGAAAATAACGAGATGAGGCGATTGCAACTTTGATAAATTAATTCAATTTTACGTAAGATTAGATTACTTATTACTTCTTCAGCCATCAGGGTCATTCTGGAGACACTCAATATGTGTATCTAAATATGCGAATAGGGCTTTAATATTTCTCATCCAAAATATTCCATTTTTTTTTAAACATTATTCGCAAATGTAGACCGTATAAATAGTATTGGCACATACTTAAATTGAGCTTCACATATACGAAAAGCTGTTGTACGCTGTTAGTTACGAATTTGAGTTAATAATTTTGGTTAGATTGGGTTAGTTATGTAGCTATTTTCAGTCGCTCCAAATACTTCAATAAATTTCATTTCCTGTAATAAATCACACACAATAACACTTTATATTTCTTCAATGAAGCTTTTTGCACTATGGTTTGTTGACTACAGAAAAAGCTTCTATGTTAATGTATAACTTTAGAAAAAACGGTTTGTAAAAAATTCAATAGAGCTTTGGCATAACGTTCAGAGAAAATAACTCAAGGTGCACGCTATGAATGAATCTAAGAAAGTTGCTTTTAATGGTCATGTTTATAAAGAACAACAGCATCTAAAGTGCACATAAATATTTCTTAATTAAACCGCAAGCAATTTTGTGATATAAAATTGAGTTTTAAATCCGAAGTATTCCATGCATTTTTAATCCTAAAAACATTGTCGCAACTTTCAAGTAAAAATCTTAATCCCTGGTTTCCAATTGTTCACCAACTCATGTTTCATGAGATAGACTTGTTGGAAATGTAAAATTCCGTTGGATTGAAGTGAAGGTACAAAAATCAATTGCGCTCTAACTGAGCTTATATTTTTTCCATTTTTAAAAAGAAATCAAACACAGACAAACCATGATTTTTGTTTAGAAGGTTTTATGACGGTCCTGCACGCAAACCACCAAGTGTACGCGCTCCCCCACGACATGTGTGAATCGAAAGGCACATGTCGGGCACCGGTTCAATTGAACTCGAAATTTTGGGGTGGGTGCACCAACAACATTGAAATCTAAGAGATTTTCATTCTGTGACTAGTTAGCTCGGTAATAGTCGGTAACATTTTAAGTGGCGATAAAATTGTCCCTAATTTGTAATGAAATCGCGAAAGGTTTCCAAAAAGACTGCGGGCACAAACTTGAGAAGAGCAGCACGACGTCCGAACAGAGTAAGATTGTATAATTCAAATAGTTATCTAGTCAATACATGAATATTACATTACATGGTAAAATAGATACTGTTTAAGTACTTGAATGTAGTGAAATGGTTACATTCATGCACTGGCACTGTATATATCCCGCTACACRATTTTTCGTTTTAGAAACGTATATTAAAATCCCGAAACGTTTCAGTTACCTGCACTATATGTTTCMGAAATGTTTATGTAACYRSARACTTGTCTCKGMTGAWCWGCAAAYGTCCGCCTTCATTGAAACGTTTCRCTGAAACATTGCAGAAACGTTTCGTTGAAATGTTACTGAAGCGTTGCGCTAGACGTTATTTAAACGTTGCAAATAAATATTTTGTAACATTATACATGGTGTATCTTTGCAGAATGCGAATATKTTAATTGGTGGTACATAATGGCCCTAGAAGCAGAACTATAGGATTGCCGTGCTTTGAGGACAAAAACATACCACGTTGAAATATTTGTACTCATCAAAGAATCACTATGTAGTTTTATGATTCTATAACATTTTCATAAAAATATTTACAAAACATTTTAAGCTAACTTGTTTAAAAACGTTTTAAATGTACAATTCACAGGCTCGAAAAGTTGATGAATAACACTCAAATAGCATAAATATATACAATAACAATTTTATTAAATAAATAAACAAGAACCAACATAAACACACAAAAATATAAATAATTTCTAAAACCCAGCTATCTCTAAGCAAAGGACCCCTTCTTTGGAGTTGGATAAATTCTCAGTTTATAATCAATCATCGTTTTCGACAGCCTCAACCTCAACCTAAAGGGAAAAAATAATAATACAGCCCTATACAGTGTGCAGTTTAAGATGGAGTATTCAAAATACTCAATATATACAGAACTGTTAGTATTATTATGTTAGTTTGATTACGTTCTTGTTCACCAAACGCCAAAGATGCCTGTCAGAAATCTTTCTTTTCTTTGTTCGGCTCATTTTATTGCCCTCAAATAATATTCATAAGCCTCTTAGTACATAAATGAACTGAGCAACTCGAAATGAGAACAGCATAACATCGTCCACATGGTCTAAGTTAGAGCTAATTTAGCTAAATATACTTACCTATACTAAAGTTTCTATAATTAAAAAATATAGATACTTACCAATATATTATCACTTATTTTGCTGAACCAGTCAAGTAATCTAGTAATGAAAAATGAAATAATACAACCTCCCAGATAATGCGTCGTTCGGAGAGAATGTTTTATAAGATAATAAATGCCATGGGCGATGGGAGGCGGTATAACCATGAATCTCATGAGCCCTAAAGACGTTTCTGAAACATTTTTGAAACGTTTCCATGATATGTTGCATTTGTGCAATATAACTGCACATTTGAAACGTTTCAGTCATGTTTCATGTTTAGCGGGATTATACACACATAGACTTTTAGACTTTAGCAGCTTCCACGATCTAATCAATTTCATATAACCATGCTTTAAACCCACATATTTTTAATTTAGGGTTTATATCAGCATGTAAAAAGTTTACATACATGTAATGCTGCATATGATAGCACCTATTAAATAAATCTGATAATAATATTAGGGCTGTTCAATTAATAAAAATTTAATACTGGTCCAAAGTTGGAAAAAACACTTTCAGTCGAAGCGAGTGAAGCACAAGCGCAAAGACGTTGATTGGCAGCTGGAAGAGTTTTTTTCATAAAACCACCATTATCAGCTTTTAGTCGAGACGTCCACCTTTCTAGTGCCGTTACATTAATTATTCTATGTATAGTTGGGGTGGAACACCATCGGATTAATTGATTCACTTTTCTCCTGTAACTTCACTATTAACCCCAACAGCCCTTCGCAACGAAATTTTGGCTGCCACAGCCTTTCAAGGATCTGAACAATACGCCAACACAGGAATAATCATGTCTTTGATTAAAGTTTTTTGCGGCTGTCGCAATACATGTTTGTTTTCTTCAAACATATTTAATGTAAAACCACTATTGTTCTAAACTCTATCAGTTCCGACAGATTTCCGAAGAGTAATACGTTTCAGAATTGGGTTTTAGTTGTATTCGATTCTCTCGCTACCAGATTTTATATAAAGAAAACCCAAAATCTCACATAGATCTCAATAAGCAATTCGTCATAAAGTTTCACCTACATTACTTGGACAATGGAAACAACTGTCCGGTCTCTATATATTCACTTGAAAATGATTGATGGAATTACTAAAACGTAAACGTTGTGATCAAGAAATCTTTGTAAGCCTATGGTAACCCGAAAGAACCATTTAATCACAACCCGTTTGCTGGCTATTATTTATTTGGAAAATTTAGACAATATTTTATGTTTTCCTATGGAATATTTCTAGACTTTTTTATTCAATTCGTCTATTCTACGAAAATTCTCAGAACTTCCAACTAGCGTGTATTTTATTATTTTTAACATTTTCCACTCAGACCAATCTTTGATTTCTTGCGGGACTTGACTGTTTAAATGCAACTCACTTTTATATTTTTTCTTTCCTAAGTCTTTTCCAGAGGCAACTATATAATAACTAAGTTTTCGTAGTTTTAAGAAAATACCTTTGTAATGTTCGTTTTTAAGCTTTCATATGGGTCAGATAAATTAAAAACTCCTTTTTTATAATATTAGTAATTTTTTTACACGGAAACGCCAAGATGAAAATAAAGACCAAAAAGAGACATGTTTATAAATCGACGGAACAGCTTGAGAACTATTAATTAAATATTAATTACTTTAAATTTTTAGCACATTTAGTAACACTAAAAATCCTTTGCACTTTATGAAACAAAAAACGAACATTTCTTGAAACTTCTTCTTTTCAGCGTTTGAATGGATGGCGTTTGAATAATTATTAAACTTTTACTCATTTTCCTTATAGAGCACACTTTGAGTACTCGAATTTCTGTAAGCATCAGCAAACTTTCTCGTTAGAATTCAATATACTAAGTAATAATTATGAGTTTTCCTGTTTATTTAGGGTCCTCTGTTAAACTGAAAATCGAAATTTTATCTTTTTAAAATTCTTATACTCTTTATTAAAAGTCAAAACACTTATTTAACAACGCTTTTATAGACATGATATATTCAGTCATCCAATGATTTTCAAAGCAAAAAAGTTATTTAATATAAACTAAAACTAGTGAAGAGTGTCACGGGAAAGCGAACACGACAATAAATTTGGATAAAAAAATCTAATGTTAGTCGTAAAGCAAAAAACTGAAATAAATATGCATTTGAATCATCCTGTATATGATTAAAAATGAACGAGCAATTTAGCAGTTAACATATAGTAGTAATTAAATAATGATTATCTAATAATAATAGTGTTGAAACTTGCAAATTAGTATTTCTCATATGACTTTTACGGAATCGGCCCCTCTTTTTGGCATACTCATCAGCAGGACTCCTAGAGAGATAGAGAAGATATGTTTGGTACAAACAACACTTTCTTGAAATAGTTTTACAAAGCATCAAGCGGCAATTTCTTTACTTTAAATACAGTAATGCCAAATTTAATTTTGAAAATAATTTTTCAAATAAAGGACAAAGCCGATACTTAGTTACGAGCTTGAATAACTTTGTCTTCAGATCAGGCCCTAAATAAAAAATATATTTGTATTCCTTTCACAAATTTTTGTCTCCGCTCTGTAAAATCATTCCACATATTCGTTCCGAACATAAAGTATGATACTATTGGGGTATTTGGAAAGTTTCTTCGTTTGAAACTTGGAACGGCAATTTTATTTATTGGGAGGTCAGCAAGATGAATATTTTAATTTTTTATTAGGGTGTCAAGAAATATACAATAAAATGGAAAATTAGAATTATTCAATACAACGATGCAAATGAATTACATAGGGTGAAAACTACAATCGTGGATGTTAAAAGAAATAAGGCAAGAGATAATGAAGAAGAGAGGCCGTCCTGATCTGGTGAAGATTATCACAATAATTTTCGATGCAGACTGTATTTTCTAGTCACAATTACCCAATACGCTCTCTTATGTGCTTTGCCTAAACACACAAGAATCAATATTCTTTATTTATGATAAAATATATTTTTATAAAGACAAATACTTTTAAAGCTTGATGCGTTATAATCGTAGGGAATCCGACAGTAGACTTAAAATGCATATTAGAAATATATTTCTTAAATACTTGCAGAACATCACGTAAATTCCTATATACAGGGTGTCCCAAAAGCAAGCATACAAAAGACAAACGGGGAAAATATTCAGATATGTCATCATGTGGATTTGGATTAACTGATAGAAAAAGTAAAATTCGTGTTCTTTATTGTCCAGCTTGCTGTTTCTAAAAGGAATTTAAACTTTTGTGAAAGTTTATTTCTATCCAAACGAAACTCTTGTTGTAATTTATGTTGCTTTTAGATTCCTCTTTTTCGTACTTCTGGTGTAAGATTGTTATCAACTGTTGTCCCTCTCATATGCGAACGTTGTGTAATGTTTGCACGATAATTACAATTTTTTTGCAATGTTGAATAGATATTTTTGTATTAAATACTATCATAAACGACGATTGACGCATTGCACGGGAGGCATTCTTTTACTTATTATAACATCAGCCAGCAATTATCTATAAAATCTGCCCTCTTTRATTGTCGAGTTAATTTCCGSAAATTWATTAATTATTGCAACAGAAAGATCGTAAAATGTTATAGCAATAATTACACGATGTTTGTTTTTGTACTAAAACTAAATGCCTTTTTCAAAATACCGTCAACTTAAACCTGTACGTTTTGGTTTACCTGTACTTAAAATTTTGCTAAATAAGGTTTTGCAGTTTTGTAAAATGGAGTAATGAATATATTTAAAAAAATAAATAATATCTCGTTCGATGATATTAACTTTCAGATTGAGCTAGAACAAGGTTTTCGCTCAAAGTTGCCTTTGTAGGTTTTTTACTTAATTATTGATGGGAACCTGGTGTAATTAACTGTTATAGGTTGAAAGAAACAAACACCGCTCGATGAAAAAAATTCTAGTTTATTACGCGTTCTTACACTTAATCTCATTGTTTGAGGAAAATCCATGTAATATATTTGAACCCAGATATTAATTTACAAGTTTATTTAAGCTATTCCATCTTCTAGACTAATATTCAATGGTTTTACAGTTATTCTTTTAAATTCTTCATAGAACAAAGAAATGTAAATTATTATGCTGGATGCGGTGATCCATTCAGTGATCGTACTGATTTGATGAACTTGAAAACCTCCGTCTTCTTTCTGCCATTTTGTTACATCTTTACCTGAAAGAAAGATGATTGATTACTCAATCCTCATTTAAATTGTTGGTGATAAATTAAGTATTTACCTTTAAATTCTCCATAGCTTCTAAACGCTGTTACTGTGCAAACTATAAAACCTATTGCAGAAACGAGAGAAAGTAGTATTCGGAACATCGTCAGCTTACGTTGTCCAATCACGGGAGATATTTTTATATATACATAACACTAAAAAAATCAATTCAGAAAAACAATTGAGAATTATTTTTGATAAGACTGCATTAATTAATTAATTTTAATTTGATATGTGTGGATTATCCAAATCGTTCAAATTGGGTAACATACAAATAGTAAAAAGTAGCATGGAAAAAATTACAAATTCTTCTAAACAGATTCAGATCGTCATATTAATTTTTTTTTGCCTAATATCGAGCTTGTTAATTAACTCTATAGAGTGGTCCACTAACATCTTAATTACATGCTGCCTATTTAAATTTATCTCATAATTTGTACAAATTTAATAAAATTAGTGCAAAAATAGACATTCTGGGCTTTCCTTGCTGATGATGCTCCTTGGATTCATGTTTGTCAATGAAAGTCTTGAATGGAAACTAGATATACGGATTTTGAGTAACATGTTAGCTAGTCCGTTAACTGTTCTATTCAAAAAAATCTAAACTTAAAAACTTGTTTATGAAGAAGACATTAAAATCGCGCGCAAACCGTTTACCAAAAAAATAATAATGACATCAAATTTAATTAATTCCAGCTGAGGTTAATAACATAATAAATCACAAAAATATTTCATTTCGAGTATCTTCAGGAAGAAGACATTGCACTGAGAGTGATTAACATTTTGATCTGTGACTTAGTTGATACCTTAATTAATTATTTATCATTTTTAATGTACTGATTTAATTGAAATGACTAATTGGTTGATTCAAAAAATCGAAAATATCTGCTCGGTCTAGCAAATATGTTATTGAGAAGGTTTCAATGGAAAATAAACAGCAGATTATACTTCCTACTACTAAACTATCAAAACTTTTTGCTCAATTTTCCATAAAAATTAGGCGATAGTAAAATTACTTTTATGTGGAAACAAAAACCCAACGTTTTGCGTTTTGAAAATAGTACCATTTGCTAACACTTTTTGGCTAAATTCTGTTCTCTTCTTAAATATAATGCATAATGCATAAACCATTATTGATTCGTTCATATTTTACTTTAGCGGCTAAAATCTTGTAAAGCGCACTATTTGTAAATTTTTGGAAAATTAATTTGAGTTATTTAAGATACCTCTGACCCATTTTTATAATAATTTTAGTGATCTGTTGCATGTTCTCTTGTTCTAAATTTTTGCACATAATGTTAATTAATAATTTTCTCCTAAGTAAAAATGTGACAGTTGAGCGAAAAATATAAACTCGCACGGTTTGTTTGTAAAAAATAAGTTTTATTAAATTGGCTTATTCCATATTCCATTCATTCAAAAATATATTCCACGTTAGACAGTTTATCATTTGCTGAGAAAACAACAAAGTTGCGGAAAAATTTAATGGAAAATTATCATCAATTAATGACGATTGTGTAACGTCGTTTGCTTGTGATGTTCAACTTTCATCAGAACGTTTCATTAAGATATATTCCTTAATGGAAACTTAATGGAACACTTGGAAGGTATAGGTAATTGCGTTTTTTTAAGTATTGCATAGGTATTATGTGGCAATAAAAAATAACAAACCTGGAAGCTTATATACAACGATCCGACCCCAAAAGTTAAAATAGCCCCAAACCAATGTATAGAAAATGCATTAGTTTCTTGAAAATTTGCGACCAGATTTAGGCCTGCACTAGCCATAAGTCCTAAAATCAAGGCCAATTTATTCACATTGTATTTGTCCTCGATATGGTGTTTCTTGTAGATTTCCTTCACCTGAAGGTACTTCAAGTAGATCGCAAAGGCTACTAAAATTTTAAAAATCTTTACTGGATGAACTGGATGTTTTTTACTCGGTTGCAGTGAATTTTTCAAATTTCAGGTATGGTTTGAAAAATACTTACTTAATGCTGATCCTATATTGAATCCTTGTCCAAAAATACAACTTTCGGGTGGGAATGTCCCAGTATCGCTTATATACGGCAATATATATGTCACGTGCTCATATTTAATATAAGACAAATAAAACCTACAAACATATTTTCTTTATTAGGTTTCAATCTTATGCAAAATTGCACTGTATTTATTATTGATGAAAATACACCAAAACTTTAAAATAATGATAAAGTAATTACTGAAAACCGACCTAATTTCGAAATAGAATTATTTATAAAAAATCAAATCAGAACATAAAATCATTATATGTCGTAAAACGTGTACCTACTTGGATCGAACTTTATTTTTCACTTTAAAGTTATCATCTTTGGCATAATTAAAAATATTTTTACTTATTAAAATTCTTGAACATTGTAAACGTCTAGGAATATTCAAGCAGTATACGTTTTTTACAAACTAACTGATCAAAGTTATGCACACAAGTTTAAGTGGGAAATAAAATATTACACAAATATGTCGTTAAAAATTAATTCGTAATAAATAAAACATGTTCATTATTTACATGAAAATTAATTATTAAAAACAAAGAGCTTCAAATGACATGATATGGTCTAAATAAATAAAATATTTATGGTTGCAGGTAATTAGAGATAAAAAGACACAATAACACCTCTATCATAGTTTTGAATATTTGAGAAAAAATGTTTAAACAACCGACTACACAATTTTGATGTTAATAGCAAATATTAAATGAACAATTTAAAAAAAAATTAAAATAAATATAAAATTTTAAAAATTTTACTCACGTGATGGATGTCGTGCATGTGATTAGAGCAACAATAGCCCAAGGCAACAACCGAATAATGCCACTCATTGGAAAGCTTTGAAGTTAAGCAAACTTAGCATAAACAGGACGCAGACCTTCCAACTTATCTTAAAATGAAATTTATATTAAAAGCTGGATTTCAAATTTCTTCTGGTTCATATTTCCCAGCAGCAACACAAAATATGCAATCGCACAATAATATGCAGTTGTTGTTCACAGGTCGACTTTTTTATTATAACTTGTTATTTTTAAGGATGTTTTTCACGTATCGACAGACAGTCAGATACTGCAATTTCAAGCTAAAATTAGAGTAATTTAGTTTGAACTTTGGTCCGGAAAAATTGAAGGTAACCATTAAAAACTTTCCATTCTTATTATGCACATGGAAAAGATATATTCTATATCGTTTGATTCATAATAGACACAGTCAATAATAATGTTACTTACTTGCTTCAAAAGCTCATTAACAAAACGCGTTTATTTTAACCGCAACAATTATTAATTTGTTAATTTAAAATTGTTAATTTAATTAAAAAATAAAAGGTTTGTAAAGAACATTAACTAAGGTAAGCTTTTAGAATTCATACCAATTAAGAAGCTGAACTAACAAATGATGCCGATACTTATGTATGCTAGTTTATATTTTTTTGTAGAATTGATAATAAAACTGTTTTTCATTAATATCATTTTAATATGTATAGGAAAATGATAATAAAATAAGTACCGAGACGATAAAACAGTGTGACGTTCATGTTTGTATATGGCTTGCATGTGATTTTTGAAATTCAATGCTTGTTCTGCTAAACTAAACTCAGATAAGTGTTGATGGGTCACTAGTACTGACCCATATCTCCACGGAAAAAATCTCCACGGTTTCAATTAATTTATAATCAATGTTTATCACAAAATATTAGTTTGTATATTTGTTTTACTTTGTCGTTTATAAAGTTCATGATGGATGTTTATAGTGTTTTTAACTGTCCGCGTCTCTAACTAATACATTCAGCAAATCAAGAGAAGTTTTTGTTTTAGAAAATAATGCTTGGACACGTTGGTCCGGTTTACAATAAAATTATATGTGGTTATACGCCAAATTAAAGTTTTTTCTGTATAATTAAGTACTCTGTAAGTACCTACAATTTCTCGGAAACACCCTGATGATAGTGTTGATCTAATGTTTTGAATTTGCAGGTGAAAAATCAGGATCATGTCACCGAAATGCTTAAACTGTGCCTTCAGAAAATATGCCAAATGCAAGCGGAAATGAAGCAGGAAGAAGAGAATCCGCACGATCCTGAGATGGAAGGATATGCAGCATGTGCTATGGAAACCTTGAGGTATTTAATGAAAAACTAAAAAAAAAGAGCAAGCCCTTCAAAGCTACATTGGAACGATTTTAGTTTATTATGCATTGGTTGAGTTTAAGTAATTTCAATGTAGTTGGAGGTACTTGGATAAAATCGTTATGATTTGGGTGCTTTCCTTTAAATATTTTTACCATATCATTTTTTTTGCAAAGAATTATTAAGTAAAACGTATTTTATGTGTATGTAACGAAATTCAAACGGTTACACAAACATGTCTTTTAAGTAGTTTTTCATATTTCTTATTTATGTTCGACGGTCTTCTGAAACTTTATGTTTTCAGCAAGAACAAAAACGAAAAGAGTATGCTTTAATATCGTAAATGTAAATGTATTATACATATATTACAGAATCGGATGTTGGACGGTTCATTTTTTTCTGTCTCATGTAGGTACATATGGAATTAAGAAATAGCTAACAAAAGAGACTTTCGAAAATGTTTGATATATTTTAAGTTTGTTCTTCTTAATCTCTTCTTCTCAGTTTGTACTGATAGATGATAACAATATCGTCTGCAAATCGTAAGTGTACTTAGTACTCCGTCGATATTCATTGCGTAACTTTTCGAGTATTTGCAGATATTCTTCAAGTTCGCATCTATTTTTGCTCGGATGAAAGAACATTCTCGTAGATTTACTTAATAAGGTTTGATTATCTGCAGTCGATTCTCGCGTTGTCTAGGGATATCAGATTACCCAGATTTAAATTAATTTGCTATTAGTTTTATTTACCATTAGTTTAATTGCATCAGTGGGAATGTATATAAAAAATGTGTGATTATGATTTTGAAAATTGTCAAATGTGATCACTTCGTATTACACGCTCCCAACAAATGCATGAATGACACAGTGAACATTTTCTAAAAGTTTTTAACAATGTTTTTCTTATTTAATTTTTACAATTCCAGGTTTCTGTCTGCTCAAGGCCTTCCGAACGACCATCCCACTGTTAAAGCTCTTTACGAAAAGCTTTTTACGAATAGCTTTTCCTGAGAAAGAGAGAGTTTTAGAGTTTATTTTTAGGTACTTAGAAGGCGAAAATCCCACAATACTTGTTACTGATTCAAATTAGTCTATACTATATTTCAAACAGCGTGTTCTTTCTAGTCAATAGATTTAGGATTTTTTATAATCATTTTTTAATAAGTTGATTTCAATCAAAGGTATTTTACGTATTAGTTTGATTGTTTTACTAACTAGGCAAATATGAGAGTGTGAATTCACATTGACGTAACTAATAAGTTACTTGATAATAAAAATTCACATAACCCCTTATGTGAATAATGAATAAATAAAAATTGATTTTATATAGCATATAAGGGCAAGTCTAGTCATTATACTTAAGTATTTCAGCTTGTATCTAGTCATTTTTAGATAGATAATAATTATAATTTATGTACCTAACTTAGTAAATAAAAAAACCATAAATGAAATCATTTGCTTATTTTTATTTTTACTTGAATTTTACAACGAAAAGGTTTGAAAAATGGGTAAGTCGGTAAATACCACGATTGTTATCAAGAGCACTAAATGCATTTTTGTAAGGCTTCCAAAATGTTATTTTCACCTGTTAAGTTGATTTTTTTAGTAAAGCAAGCAAAACTTTTTAGTAATCCATCCAATTTTTAGGAAAAACTTGGCATTAAATCTTCAGGTCCAGAGTGTTGTTGGTTTTATATAAAGAGACAATATAGTGCCATTTTCTGGACCCAGAAGAGTACATTTCTGCGGCTGGAGCATGTATTCGGGTAAAGTTTACATGTAAACCTTAGTTTTACATTGCCAACTAAGGCCCTTAGAACACGGCATATTCGGCAGATAGATAGATATCAGCAACAAGTGGGATGAAACGAACATCTTTCAAAATCCGTCTTTAAATCATTAAATATACAAAATAAATGAAGGAGTGGAAAATACATAAAAGGAACGATTTTACCACGTATTTAAAACCAAATAGCTGAGGAAAGATGATATCGTTTTCATAGACTAACATAAGTCTGTTGTACAAATTTATTGTATGCATTCTAGAATTTTGAATCAATAACATAAATGAATAAGAATAAAATGTGTTCTAGATAAACCTTTTTTCTCGGATTTCTTTTTCGTTTAGTTCCTGTTCCTCAACTCGTTTTCGATTAATTCAATTTGAATGTTGGCTCAGATATACACTGCCTGGATACTCGTATTACTATTGCAACAATAAATCGCAAACTATTCAGGCAGGTCTACTTTATATCTTATCATTTTATCTTTCATTCTCTACTTTTAATTTGTTAAATAGATATGTTTTCAATTAAGTACCGATCCTTACAGACATCTACTTGAAATTTGAACATTTCCCTCATAGCTAGAAATATTTAAGTATGATTCTGGATACATTAGAGTTGGAAATTCGTAATTTAAATAATCTAAAGTATCAAGAATTAAGATTAAATCCATGTAAAATAGTTAGTATAGCAGTTTAGATGAGCCATTCTTGAAATGACTTCACAACAATTACGTCTAGTAAAATGAAGTGGTCAGTTTTTGGAATTATTTTATCCGTGACATATTCAACCGTAAGTGCTAATTAATATCATACGTGATAGTTTGCTTTAGATACAACTATTTATTATAGTGTGCTGTAGATTTACTAGTGGATCTTCCATATGGCACAATTAGGGGTAGAGAGCTTGCCACACCTAATAACATATCATTTAGAGCATTTCAAGGTGTGCCATATGCTGCCGCGCCTGTTGGTACTCTCAGGTTTCAGGTTGGCATTGTTATTTCCTGTTAATTGACTGTTATATAAGCATATGAATGAAATTGTTCAAACGATTATCAAACACAAGGCAACGCTTCTAAAAAAAACAATATATATATTTTCACATTTGATAATATTTTTAAAAAATTAGGCTCCGGAACCACCTACCAATTGGACTGACATTAAAAATACAACCCAAGATGGAAACATCTGCTTCTCAGTTAAAAACGATAGCGACGATGAGAATGAAGATTGCTTATTCATCAACATCTTCACTCCAATATTAAGCAATGTAAGTAGGTAAAACCGTATGCAGGTTGTTTAAAAGTAAACATACATTCCGTCATGTCATTCTTAACATTCTTAACAAAATATTAATGGAAGTACAAAAAATAGTTGCGCTCCAAAATTAATACATATATCAAAGAGATTAGGTAAGCCTTAGTAAAAGTCCTAGTTCATACAAAGACAAATTGCTTTTTGACTGTTGGGTATACGAAGTAAAGAATAATCTTGCAATAATAATTTAATAATATTTTTTTGGTAAAAATACTAAGAAGTCTGAACTTTCACTGAGTTGAAGTAAAAATGAGTTTGTTAGAATCTTTTTATTCAACTTTTAAGTTATTTTATAAAGGGCATGGAGCACATTATCAATTGAACCTCTTTCGTCAAGGCTTTCTACATTTTTAGGCAACTGAAGAAAAATTTCCAGTTATGTTATGGATTTATGGAGGGGCCTTTCGAACTGGCTCATCAAAATATGTCAATTTCGGCCCAGAATTTTTATTGGAAAAAAATGTGGTCGTCGCCACGTTTAACTACAGACTAGGTAGGTAATCATCTGAAGTATGCGATGATTATTAATTAATATTGGAATCGGATCGCGTTGGATCTTTACTGCACTTTACTAGAGAGAAAAATGTACCAACTCTTAAAAATATTTCATCATGGCAAAAGTGGTAAAATAAAAAGTTTCGAAATTATTTTACATTTCCACATCTTGCACCAGCAGCAATACCTTAAACAGTAAATGTCGTATAGAACAATGCTCTAAAAATATAGGCACATGTATATTTTTTGAGATTTAGATACATATATGAAACTCATATTCTGATCGCAGAAGATTCTATGAAGATTTAATTGCAGGTAGTTGAGTGATCTGGGGAGCAAATTTATTGATTTCGAATTTTTTTAAAACTGGAAATGGGTTTTAGAGCTCCATAATGTTTATTCTTTAATTTAATAATTTGTATTTTTTGCAAAAACGTAAGGAACGGTAATCCACCAATTTTAGATTACCGTTAATGTATCTTAAAAATGTGATGTCAAAGGATTTTTAAGAAATATCTAATAAAATACATAATGCATTGATTACGAAATATTTAATTGACTATTAATAAAAAGTCCTGTTTTCTACTAAGATCTTTCTGAAGTTCATCAAGTGAAATCAAATCAAAATAAAATAAATAAACCTCTTAATTTAATTAATAAAAAATCGCCTTCTAGCCAATAATTATTTTCGTAATGTGTAGGTATTTAAATTTAAAAAAAATCGCCGATTGTTCCATATTATGAAAAGATAGAATTAAAGAATGGAAAAAAGAAAAAAACAGATTCTCTAGTCCATAAAGCGCTCAAAATAAATTAATTTTTTTAGGCATGAGTTGAAATTATTGGTACCATAAGATGTCAGAATTATTTTGCTTCTTTGCTTTATATATTTTTTAATCGCCAAATTTTCACTAATAATTTGAATGAGAAACATTTTCCAATGAGCTCCTAATTTAGAATTCGAATTAATTAGATTCGAAAGAATTATCTTAAAAATACGGGAGTAAGTTCAATATACAATTTTACTAAAGCCTTGGTAAAGTGCGAAAAGGTAAAACTGTAAATTATTATTTCATTACATTAAGTATGAATTTAATTAGATAAACTAATTAACTCAAATAAAACAAAAAAAATGGTGTGCGTCGACAGAAGAACTTCATAAATTAATAGAAACCATAAAATATTGAACGCATGATGGCAATAATGAATTTATTTTATAATTTTAATATTCTTGTTAGTCTAATAATTTATAAATGAATAGGTAAAATAAAATTTTTTTTTTTTAATGTAAAATATCTTTTTTATTTGCAACATTTAACATTATTTAACGAGATGTTGTACATATTGCTCTTCTTGGCTTTGTGTAAACTCTTCTTCTTGAGTTTCTGTATTTTTTTGTCGTAATTACTTATTTGCTTTGTATAATCTTTGACGTTCAGTTGATGAAAGCTACTTTGAGTTGATCTATTACTTAATGCTCCTTTTTCAGAACAAAATCGTTTTTGGCGTTCAGCATTACTTAATACTTTTCGCATTATAGCATGTTTTTGTGACTGCTCTTGTGTATGTTGCTCATGAACATCTGCTACAACTTGTATCTGAATAGGACTAAAAAATCAATTAATTTTGGTGCTTTGAAAATGCGTATGTTCAAATAAAAGATTCTAGCTCAACTAATCCATGGCTAAAAAAATTAAACTAAATTGAGAAGATTTAATCATAAAGGAATCAAAGGGTATATGAAGGGAAAAAATCCATTTTAATGCGTGGTCAACACAATTAATCATATAAATAATATAGAGAATTGAAAATATGTCCTAATAAATTCGTTTTACATATTTTGCAACTATAAGCTGAAGGGAGATTCGTATCGTCTTAACATCACGAATGCGTTGCGGGATAGAAAATAAGAAGACGGAACCCATGTTTTCTGAAATATCATATTATAGTATAGTCATGATGTTTATCATTTTATGTTAAATATGAAAGATTACAAAATAGATATCTAAATATTGATAATTTGTCGTTACAAAATAAAATAACAAATAATAGAACATATTATTGCATTAAAAGTTATTAATAATAGTAGTGACACTTTATATGCACTTAATCTTTTCATAAATTGATCCTGCCTTCTTTAGAAAATATCCGCTCAACATCTGGTTTAACAATTGTCTCGGATGAAAATCACTAAACTACTAGGTAGTAATATTTTACCGAATCGTGCAATACAATGCAAATGGACATCATCTGGGCTGCATCTGGACTACAGACGGAGAGTAAGACATAGGGAATCGGTACCGGGATTGTATCGATACGATTTAATTTAAT